TTACAAGATGTCTTCTTTTTGATTTGTTTTGGTTTTTTTTATGTGACAAACACACAGGAAAAAGAGAACCCCTGATTGCTGGCTCACTCTGCAGATGTCCACAGTGGACAGAATGAGGCCAGGCTGAAGCCAGGAACTCAATCCAGGTCTCCCTCGTGGATGGCAGGGACCCACATAAACCATTGCCTGCTCCTTCCCAGGGTCTGTTTCAGCAAGAAGCTGGAATCGGGAGAGGAGCCAGGACTCGAGCCCAGATATCCTAATGTGAGATGTGGCCATCTTTAAAATCAAAAGTATTTATTTGAAAGAGTTACAGAGAGAGAGAAAGAGAAAAAAAAAAAATGTTCCATCTACTGATTCACTCCCCCAAATGGCCACCATAGCCAGAGCAGGGCCGACCCAAAGCCAGGAGGAGCTTCTTCCGGGTCTCCTGCAAGGGTGTCAGGAGCTCGATCCTTTGGACGGTCATCTGCTTTCCTGTCTTCTGCTGCTTTCCCAGGCCAGTATCAGGGAGTTGTTCAGAAGTGGAGCAGCCAAGACAGACTGCCACCCATATTATATGCTGGTGTTGTGGGTGGCAGCTTCACCTGCAATGCCATAATGTCATGGGCACCTTCACTAGTATCTTAACCACTGGGCCAAATACCTGTTCCACTGTCTGGTTTTTGTAGATTTGAAAAGTCCTCCTTTCTATGTGTAGACTTCTTTTTTTTCAGATCAAGAATCTCACTTATCGGTAGACTTCTGGGCATCTTGTCACATGAACCTTCTGGAGGCTAACGTTGCAGAGCATAATTGGCTTAGGGAAATTTAGTTTGAATTTTGCTAATAAAGATTAAAAGTATGTGGCCTGGTGGTAAGCTGCCATTTAGGATGCCTGCATCCCATATCAGAATGCTTGTATTTATTGCCTGCTCATCGCAGGCATGTGGAAAAAGAGCCTGCAGATAGGAGTTCTCTGTCTCACTCTTTGTCTTGCAAATAAAAATAGTAAAAAAGTAAGAAAAAAGCCTTTTAAAAAAAGAGAGAGAGAGAGATACAGACTGAAGGTGTGTAAGTATGTCATTGAGTATATTCTGGAGTAGGCTTAGAATTTTAAAGGACCCTACCAATAGAGTGTTCACTTGCAGCATTGCTAGCAGCAGGCTTGGGTGACTGAATTAACTATAATGGTGGGGTTTGCATATGAGCTTTACTTCTTTCCATTTCAATACATGCTTTACTAACATTAGGAAATAGGTCTTTCCATACCCATGTTTATGACATGTAAGTGGGAAATTTCTTAGCAAGTCTGCCAAGGGCTCTGAAAACATTATTCTTAGCTGTCTGCAGCAGATAAAAAGCAAACTACATATAGATGAAAGAAATCTGTTATCTTTCACCTTTTTTTGATTATTGTTTAAATACTTAGTGCCTTTTTGTCAGTGTCTTCAAATTTGCTCTGGCACCTGTAGCTATGGAAGCAATCCGTGTTGCTGTCATTAGATATTCTTTGAAATCTTATGAATGGTGAATTGTTAAGCACATCCCACAATAGCGGTGGAGGTGTTTGGATTCCTGACCAAAGCCATTCTGGTATCTAATAAAGCATAAATTTGATACTATGTCATAAAGCTAACTATGCAATGATGACCTTTTGTAATGTTTTCAATGTTAGGGCGATAAACTGAAATCTGAGATAGTGTCACAAACTTAGAGCTACAAGAAAACCACAGACATCACCAGCCAAATGTTTCATTTTCTGTATGAAGAAACTAACCCAGAGCAGCCAGGCCAGCCAAGACTTGCCCATGATTTCGGCTAATTCCCTGCAGAGCCCAGATCACAGCTCCTCTTGTCTGATTCCCAATGGAACATACTTTCTTTACAGAGACTCTATCAAAGGAATGTGAAATTATGGACAAGTTACAGATACCAGAAATTCCAAGAAAACCCTTTAAAAATACAAATTTATCATACATCTGAATTAAAATAACACAAAAATCGTTTAATTACCTGGTATTATTACTGATTTATCCATTTCATTTTTCACCCTGAGGTTTTTAAGCTGTGAGGGAAATTTTGATGTGCTGACTATTACACATTGAGGATAATATGTTTTTCCATATCATGCCTTCAATGCTTAGATTAAAATGTTTTTAAAACTAGCTGTTTTGATACCTAAGTAACCAAAGTTTTAAAGAATTTTAGTGGCAAGGATTTAAAGCCTTAACTACTACTCGAAGCATCTTCCACAAACCAATAGCACCAGACTCCCTGGGGAATTCCCTAGACATGCAGAGGCCCAACCTGCCCTTCCTGGGACATTGTGTGTGTGTGTGTGTGTGTGTGTGTGTGTGTGTGTGTGAATAAGATCCTGGTGACTCCTGTGCCTACCAAAGTCCAGAAGCACTTGTTTAGAGAAGTGGAAATCTCAAAGCCTGGTCCTGTTTCTTGCCATTTCCTTGTCTCTTTGTTCCTCATTTTCTTTCTTTCTTTCTTTCTTTCTTTCTTTCTTTCTTTCTTTCTTTCTTTCTTTCTTTTTTTTATAGAGTTAGTGAGAGAGAGACAGACAGAAAGGTCTTCCTTCCATTGGTTCACCCCCCAAATGGCCACCACGGCCAGCACACTGCACCAATCCAAAGCCAGGAGCCAGGTGCTTCCTCCTGGTCTCCCATGCAGGTGCAGGGCCCAAGCACATGGGCCATCCTCCACTGCCTTCCCAGGCCACAGCAGAGAGCTGGACTGGAAGAGGAGCAACCGGGACAGAATCCGGCGCCCCAACTGGGACTAGAACCAGGGGTGCTGGTGCCGCAGGTGGAGGATTAGCCTAGTGAGCCGTGCGGCACCGGCCAAAGAATTTTACCTCCCCAACCCCCCTAAATGAGACATAAAAATACCAGAGTCTGCTTCCATAGGCAAAAAGGATTTCAGGTAAAGGGTGTGGAAGGGCGGAGAGGAAATCCATCTCATCGCTGTGGGCTTGTGGCTGCACTGATAGGCTGATGGCATCTGGCAGGGGTTTGTAGGATGACACCCCACCGACACCACCACCTGTGAGTCATCAGTCACCAGTGGTCCTTGCTCCCAAAACCAGGGTTGTATGACTGTGTTGAGAAGTGGGGCCCAGGAGTTAATTACAGTGTTGAATTCACAGAGGGTGAGCCACGGAACACCAGAGGCAGGCACTGCCTGTTCCAGTTCAGGACAGAGAGCAGCAGCAGAGGGTTGATTGTTGGTTATGGCTCCTGGGAGCCTGTCTCAATAAGGGGCGTTAGGAAGCAGAGGAGAAGTGGCCATGATGAAAAACCCCCTGAAAGACCTAAACCCAGGCTTCTGTATATAAAGATGAGTCCAGTGGCTTTTTCTTCTAGTGACAAGGGTCTGAAAGACAGGCTATTGTGATGATGAGCTTAGACTCTTGAGCTCAAACTCTCTGGGCTCAAATCCCAGCTCATCTAGGGTCTGTGGTTGTATGCATGTGATTTAAGCTGTCTAATGTCTTCACATGGATCTCGGGAACACAGTAATGTCATGTAGGCTTATTGTAGACACTAGATGAGGAAATCTGTGTCAACAGTACTTAGCACAGTGTCTGAATTGTGGTAAGTACTCAGTAAGTGTAAGGGTATTGTTATTTATTTACTTCTTTAATTTAATGATTCTTTCCATCAATTTCTCTTCTGCACAGTAGCATAATTTTTTGTGTTTTTTTCTGGGATTGTACTGTGGTCTGTGGCCATGAAAAAGGAACTTGTGGCCGTAACTAAAGAAAATGATCCGGGCTTACAGAATTAAGTGTTTTTCAATCACCTCTGTGATAGGACTGTGGTAAGAGTGGTGCGGGAATGCTAGGGAATGGAATGCAAGCAAATGGGAAGCATCATAAAGTCCCTGGGCACCCTTGCATTCTGAATAGAAAGAGAGAAAACCTGGCAGATGATTCGAAACAACATATTCCTATGCTACATTGACAGTAAATAAATTAAAATTAATTAAATAAAATAGAATTAATAAAATAAATTAAGATGTCTGGAGTGGCTGAAAGACAGCCTTCAGTACTGGTCTTTAACAGCTTTATTTTCTTCAAGTGCCTTCCTTAAAGAAGGAAGGAAAAAAGGAGAGAACGGTTGGGCAAAAATGGTAGTTTGCCCTGGCTAAGTTTTTTTTTTTTTTTTTTTAATCTCTTTCTCTCTAACCTCTGTTTAAGCAGAGATACTTTTGAATCTTGATTGAGAAACTCACGTGGCACTAGGGGGCAGAAGGTGAGGTATGAATGATACACATACAATTAAAATAGCTGCTGATCTCAACTCGTATTAAGGTTCACGTATAAACGCGGGGTGGGGGGGCAGCTCTGACTGGTGTGTTGTGATTGTACATTCTGCTTCATGTCGATCAGAGGACCCAGGCTCTGGAGAAAATCAGAAAGTGGAGGGCATTTCTAAATGCCCAGCAAAAGGGTTGTAAATTAAGTGTTAAGATGAGAATTTACAGAACTTGAGATATTTCCCATCTTGAGAAATTTGCAACGTAAAGGTGGCTTAGAGAAGATGGCTTAGAAATAACCCTGTAGAAAACAGGATTGGCTCCTGGTTCTCTGTCCCCTCTGGTCAGTTTTAGCAGGATAATTCTGTCTGAAGGCCCAGGGAGAGGGACAAAGGGCAGCAGTAGCTTTGGGCTGGAGCGAATGGGAAATGGCAGGAAGGCAGCCAACAGGGATTGAAGGAGAATGAAGGGTCCTTGGCTAGGGCTTTGGCAGTTGGGTGAGAGCTGAGAGATGGTTTTGCAGGATCAGTTGTGGAAGTGTCTGCCATGGATGTCTTTTGAAAGGGGGGAATACGGAGCCAGGGCCACCTCTGTTTCTAGAAAGAAACAAACACGAGCACATGTCAGTGGATGGTTAAGGCCAGACAAGGGCTGCTGTGGCTGGTCCTCCCAGCGCGTGGTCCCCGCCGACGTCTGGCTCACTGTGGCTGATCCTCCGTCTAACCTGACTGTTGTTTCCTTCTTTCCCACAGTGCTCACGTATCCCAAGTCAGCAGCGTTTCGTCAACTGGAGAGTAAGTTATTTGGGTTGGGTTGTCATGTTTTCACTGTTTTTGAAATGTCCTCTTCTGATTATTAAACAGAACAGATAATCATCCTGGTATACAGTACTGTTAGATTAACATAACACACAGCCAGTGGTTTTGAAACTGTGTGCAGAGGAAAGCACTGAATTAGAAAGGAGCCTAGCTGAGCTTCTGTGTGTGTGTGACTTGAGACAGCTTCACCATCCAAACCATGAGCTTTTTGTTTCTTTCACTAAAAGTAACGTCAGAGTCAATATTTGCAAAGCAGCCTGTGTGTTTGGGGAGGCACCTTGCAACGGAGACTATAATGAAAGTACCAACCACATCTTTACTTCCTACTCTGTTCATTTCACCAGGCCTGTGCTGATGGAGTGTGCCCAACACAGTGCTAGATGTTTCATCTCAAACAAGACCCTGGGCTCTGCCTTCAGGGACTTTACAGGCTAAGAGGGATGCCAAAAAGAAAGCAGATTCATGATGGCCAGGTCCTCTCCCCACAGGGATTCTGGCCGTCTCGTGTCTTCTTACTCCCCTGGCTTGTACTGGCACTAGAGCTCTAACTCTGCGTCTGTCTGCCCTTGCCCACTTCTCTGACTTTAGTGTCCTTCCTTCAGCCACACACAACAGCTTGTTCTGTTCCAGGAACAGGCCAGGCTTACTGCTGCCTCAGAGCCTTTGCACCGAGTGTTTCTCACCTGGCCAGCGCTTTGTCGTCATTCACTCTGTTCGAATGGCATCTCCTCTGGGAGTTTACCCCCTAACAGCCCACATTCACTCTCCTGCCCTTTGCTTGATGTTTTAGGGAATTTTGCACTGACATTCCTTGGTTGTATTTGTTGATTATCCTTCTTACCCTACAGGTATGTAGGCTCCATAAACATGGGACCTTGTCTATTATGTCCATTGCTGTCTTCTCAGCTGCTAGGAAAGTACCTGGTATACACTCGCTACTAAATAAATATTTGTCAAATGACTGAATGAATAGTTCCTTGCCCAAAGATCTTGCCATCATCCCTGCCTCTTCCTTTCTTGCTGAGACCTGTGCAGTCCCTTTTGGAGTTTGTCCCACAGCAAGGCTCAAGTGTAGGAGGCGGCAAGGTTTTGAATTGATAGAAAGAGAGAAGAAATAGAATCAAGAGTTGGAATGAACCTGGGATCTAAAAAATGTATTTGGAGTTTTGTCTTCCTTATTGGATGAGGAAGCAATTGGAGGGCAGGACTGACCTCCCTTCACTACGTCAGTATCTAAAGAGCTTCCAGAACTATACCAATACTGACATGTTGGGGCTGGTGCCATGGCTCATTTGGCTAATCCTCCACCTGCCACGCCGGCATCCCATATGGGCACCAGTTCTAATCCCGGTTGCTCCTTTTCCACTTCAGCTCTCTGCTGTAGCCCGGGAGGGCAGTGGAGGATGGCCCAAGTGCTTGGGCTCCTGCACCCACATGGGAGACCGGGAAGAAGCACCTGGCTCCTGGCTTCGGATCGGCGCAGCTCCGGCCGTTGCAGCCATATGTATATATACATATATACATATACATATACATATACATATACATATACATATACATATACATATGTATATATAAAAAAGACTGACTTGTTCTTACTCTTTTGTGTGTCCTAAAACCTTTCCTTCTAATATGTCTTGTAGTTTAGGCAACTGCAGGTTGGTCTAAGTGTGCACATTCATTTCCCCACATGGGGTAATCTTAAATCATTTGGGACACAGAATTGTAAATGTGTAAGTTTTAATGCCCAAGTTAATTGGACTATATTTGATCATTGTCATAAAATATATTTAACAAAATTTTAATGGTGTAATAATGAGTCTATTCTAAAACTGCCTTTGGAAAGCCCAAACTACTTTAAGTTCTCAAAATCCATTTTATTGAAGGGAATGCTACTTCTCAGTCTGAGCATTTAAGAAATATGTGTGATTCTTCTTTGAGTGAACAAAAGCATGGTTTAAGAGGAGTGTGAGTTAAGAGTTTTCCATGCCAGCTTATTCAGAATTAAATAATGTGGTGACAAAGGAAGGTTTAGACACATTAAAAGATTCTGCAGCTTTAAAAATGATACCATTTATATAATTTATATCTTATCAAGCATTCTTTTCAGCCTTTTCTGCTTTCTTGTTTCCTTCCAATGTCATTAGTATATTTTGGGAAGCATTAGTGTGATCACTGCTTGGATTGTGTACATCACAGTTGAATTGAATAGAAGTTAGGAAAGATTATACAATGCTGCTTTGAGTTGTAATTGTTCTAGTGAGTGTTTCTCCCCAGATAGCATTACTGCCTATACGATTTTATCCTGAAGGGTTTCTAAATAGATGATAGGTATCATAAAGTCATTTGTGCCAGTGTGCTGTGCAAATCAGCCTACTGTCTTCCTGTGCAGAACCAGTGTGAGATTGGGAGGAAATCCGCCTTTGTTAGAATAGACCTATTATTATTCTATGGGGAACAAAGTCTTTCCTCATTCTGCCTTCTATTAAATGACCCTCATTTCCTGAACACCTCATAATTGTTGTTAGTCTTGCCGTGAGCATTTCGGCAAGCTTGGACTCACAGAGGTGAGAAATAACACTTACCAAATTGGTAGAATCTGCTCAGCTTGCTTGCTTTTGTTTTTAACACACAATGCAAATATTTTTATACTTGGACTCTTATCCATTGAAAGAAGTCCAAAATTATGTGCATCTATTTTTAAAGGCAATTATTGATAAACCTGATTGCTTGAATATTTTTTAATTACTATTTTTTTTTTTTACCAGACTCTTGGAAAGAACCATTCGATCAGCTGTAGAACAGCATCTTTTTGATGTCAATAGCTCTGGAGGTCAAAGTTCAGAGGACTCAGAATCAGGGCCATCATCAGCATCTTCCACCGCCACATCCGCCAGACAGCGACGACGCCAATCTAAGGAACAGGATGAAGCGCGACGTGGTCGAGAGAAGTGAGTGGGCACTGCTTCTTCCCGTTGCTGAGCTTTCTCTTCTTTTTAAAATACGTACCTACCTTAGTCACTGCGATATCCTCACATCTGCTTCTCTGTCATTTCAGTAATTGGGTTAAAACTTTGATTCTGATCATTTTCAACTTGGCTAACATTTGGAAATTCATTGGTGAATAAATGGTGCACTTTGATCGGATGCTCTGCACGTTGCAGCAAGCCACAGACCGTTCACAACTTTCTTAGGGTTGTCTTATCTGAGGCGGGCTGGACTCGGGGAGGAGAAAGGTGCCCGGTGGCTGTCAGAGGGGTTCTTCCCCTTGGCAGACAGCGTGAAGTTGACTGTCAGACTCATTTATGAGCCAGCAGATTTTCCCATTGTATTGGGCTATAAGTGAATGCTGGAATGTCGCTGTAGTACTCTGATGCTTGATAATGTCAGACTGTATGAAAGGTTGAGCTTGCATAACTGAAAGAGGGGAAACTTAAGTTCTTTTTGATAGAAATTATTAATCTGAAGTCATTCCCATGGCATGAATAGTACTACAAGGAGCTGTAATAGTAATATATGTAACAAATAGTAATAAATGTAATAGTACTACAAGGATTTGATAAAAAATACAAATGAACAATTACCATTCAAATTATTTGGTCATCATGATTAGGAAAATGAACTTTTGCAGACAACAGACTGTATTTGTATTTTTGTCCCTGAAAGTTCCAAGTTCATTTTTATTCACTGTAGCATATAGCCTCTATATAGTGATTGTTTTGAACTTCTTCTTAAATGTCCAAGAATAAACTAGATCCGTGTCCTTCTCCTCCTTTTTCACCTGTCCTCATAATCTACTTCAAAATCTTTATGGGAAAAAAATGAATGTGTTTTTTGCAAAAGAAAAACATGGACTATAAATAGTATAATTTCATGCTCCCCATCACTGAGATGGTCAAGGGCTGTACTAATGAGTATAATTTTAGAAATAAAGCAGGAGCAGTGACAGAAGCCACCGATATTACAAGTGGCATTTGCGGTACTTCAAAAAAGAGGTGGATCAGAGGGGTAGTTGTAACATTCCATTTATAAAATCAACACATTATGATACAGGAGATATTTATGCTTAACATTAGCTACTGATTGAGGTTTATAGAAAGCATCAGGAGGCAGAATAATTTATTAGTGTGCGCTCTGTATCTCGTTACAGCAAGTACAGTTATTCAGTTAACACTGTCCGTGCTGCCTCATTTTTACCGACAAGCAGGTAGCAACAGCCTGCACATTTAGAGTATCCTCATCAGCACGTTCAGTTCTCCCTGGCTTTGGACGAAGGAATGGTCCTGGCGGGGGGTGGGGGGGTGGGGGATGCGGGAGTGAGCCTGATAATGAGAACACGGTGAGATGGTGGCAATGCTCGGCAAAAGCCCAGAAATACAAAACATAGGCTCACCCTGACTCCCCTGCGGAATTTGAACATAGAATTTTCCATGTCTGGAGATATTTGTAGCATAAACGATCTTGATGATTTCTGTTAACAACATGAGGGGAACAGAGAGAGATGGAGACTGGCAGAAACTGCATGATCCTCTAACACCATACACATGGCCCTCTAGTCTGTCTCTTAGATTTTCTTCTCTGGTATGCCTTTCACTGCTCTCTCTGCTCACTCATCCTGGACAAATGACAACTAGATGAGGAAGACAATCCTGGGTACACACTGTTAGGATACTTCTTTGTGCAGTGGAATAGCTTAACAACTGTCTCACCATACTCTGTTCCCTGGCACATGGCCTAGGCCCTCGGAAGCCCCTGTAAGATGCTGCTTGTTTGCATCACCCTCCCAGTCACGAGACCCCCACTCCTGACCTGAAATGCAAAGTCACAGTCACGTCTTCAATCCAAGCCCCATTGAACACCTTCCCTCAGCTCCCCGAGTGCATGGAGGAGCAAGGTCCTTATCCTTATCTCTCCAGGCTCCCAATCTACTAGTTTGGCCTGAATCAGCTTTGGCCACAAGTCAGTTACCCCTTCCTCCAGCCTCTCTCTCCTCACCTTGAAGCTGGTGCTGCTCCTTTCTCTCACCCTACAGCTCTGTTCCTTTCCTCTTACCTCCTTGTTCTTCATACTTTTGCAGCTGGCTGACTCTTCCAGCATCTCCCCTTTGGTCTCAGATCCCTCTTTCAACCTTCTTCCTTTCAGGGATTTTGAAATGCCACCATCAAAATCCTTTCTAATATCCTCAGGACAGTCTCTAAGTGTTATAAATCGTGAGAAGGTCAAGAACGTTTGTTACAGGCTATAGGAAATGAGTTTTCCATAGCATATGCTCCTGTGTCGTTGTTTCATTTCTACGGTTTTCCTCTGGCTTTGCTTTAAAAATGATTAAACTAGACTTGAATGCAAACTTATCAACCTTGTGGAATGAATAGAAAGTGTTTTGAAAAACAGAAGTTCATTTGTATCGTATCTATTTTGCCTCTACCAATTTAGAATTGCAACCAATTTGAAAATAGCCTTGGGGCTAGCATTGTGGTGGAGTGGATTAAGCCACTACCTGCAGCACTTCCAATCCAGCTCCTTGCTAATATGCCTGGAAAAGCAGCAAATGTCCTGAGTTCTTGGACCCCTGCCACCCACATGGGAGACCTGGATGGAGTTCCAGGCTCCTGGCTTCAGCCTGGCCAAGCCCCAGCTATTGCAGCTATTTGGGAAATGAAATAGTGGATGGAAGATCTCTTTCTCTCTGTTTCTTCCTCTCTCTCTCTCTCTCTCTCTCTCTCACACACACACACACACACACACACAGACACTCTGACTTTCAAACAAATAAATAAATCTTTTTTTTTTTTTTGACAGGCAGAGTGGACAGTGAGAGAGAGAGACAGAGAGAAAGGTCTTCCTTTGCCGTTGGTTCACCCTCCAATGGCCACCATGGCCGGTGCGCTGCAGCTGGCGCACCGCGCTGATCCAATGACAGGAGACAGGTGCTTATCCTGGTCTCCATGGGGTGCAGGGCCCAAGGACTTGGGCCATCCTCCACTGCACTCCCGGGCCACAATAGAGAGCTGGCTTGGAAGAGGGGCAACCGGGACAGAATCCAGCGCCCCAACTGGGACTAGAACCCGGTGTGCCAGCGCCGCAAGGCGGAGGATTAGCCTAGTGAGCCACAGTGCCAGCCACAAATAAATAAATCTTTAAAAAGATTTAAAAATAAAAATAGCCTGGAAGCCCATGATTGCCATTTTAAGATGAGATCAGAGTCTGTAAATCTAACTGGAATTGCCATGGTAGATTTTTGAAACAAGCAATACTATAAATACTTCATAAGCAAGACTATAAATACTTCATTTATCTTGGTGCAAATGATTGTTATTGGTCTAAATTCTGGAGGAAATGTAATTACTCATTATTATTTACTACAACAAGAACAGAAAAGTTCTAGGAATATAGTTATTATGTTTAAAAGTTTAGTTTAATTCATTATTTTAAAATCAACCATCTACCAGGTATATGGTCAGGTTGTAGAATCCTGCTTTTTGATATATAGAAGTTTGTTGTGATCATCACTCTACTTCTGAATATGTTTGAAAAAAAGTCATAATTATTTTTATTTTTTTAAAGATATATTTTATCTATTTGAAAGACAGAGTTACAGAGCGAGGTAGAGACAGAGAGAGAGGTCTTCCATCCACTGGTTCACTTCCCAGATGGTTGCAACAGCTGGAGCTACACGATCCAAAGCCAGGAGCCAGGAGCCTCTTCCAGTTCTCCCACATGGGTTCAGGGACCCAAGGACTTGGGCAGTCTTCCACTGCTTTCCCAGGCCATAGCAGAGAGCTGGATCTGAAGAGCTGCAGCCGGGACTCAAACCCGTGGCCATATGGGATGCCGGCACTTCACGCCAGGCCCACTGTACCACAGTGCCGACCCCAGTCATAAGTATTTTTGAAAGGAAAGCAAAAATTAAGTGAAAGTAATTTTAGTCTTCCAAAACACAATAAATTAGAAAATTGATCTCAGTGTTTATTTGTTACATAATTATTATATGTTAAAATCCCACTGCAAAGTAAAAAACAATGATTCATTAGGAGGATAATAAGTAGTTTAGTATTATTAGAACATTAAATTTCTGCAGAGGAATTTGAGGAGGAAGCCCTGAAAATATTCCCATGGGCAATTAATATGAGAGGCCTGGGGCAGGAGTTTGGTCTAACAGTGAAGACACCCCTCATCTCTTGTCAGCCTACCTGGCTTCAACAGTTCACTCTGGCTTCTGACTCCAGCTTCCTGCCAATGCAGACTCTGGGAGGCTGTGGTGATGGCTCAAGTATTGGGTTACTACCAGCCATGTGGGGACCTGGATTGAGTTCCCGGCTCCAAGCTTCAGCCTTGGTCTGTGGACATTTGAGGAGTGAACCAGTGGGTGGGAAATTTCTAGGTCGCCAATATGTTTTATATTATATATATTGTATGTGTGTGTGTGTATAAAATATGTACATGATTTACCTAAAACTATTCTAGAGGCTACTCTCTTCTCTGTGTCCTCAAATGGCCTTTCCTCTGTGCACCTGTTTTTCTGATGTCTCTCTCATCTTATAGGATAGCACTCATGTTGAGTTAGGTGCCCAGCCTTATGACCCAATTTAACCTTAATTACCACCTTCAAGGCTCTATCTCCAAATACAGTCCTACATTGAGGATGTGAAAAATGTAGAAGAAGTGTGGAGTGGTAGGAAGATAGAATTTAAATTGTTAAACAAGTAATTCTAAGTTTAAGAACAAACCCATCTAGCCATCACCAGCAAACACTGTTCTCAGTGCATGGCTGAGAACTTGAATATGTGTCGAATGCATGTGCTTGCATGTTAGTCCCCTGGGATATTGCTTATATGTGTGCATAAATCTTTTATTTTTTATTTTTATTTTTAAGATGTATTTATGTATTTGAAAGGTAGTTTCAGAGAGGCAGAGGCAGAGAGAGAGAGAAAGAGGTCTTCCATCCACTGGTTCACTTCCCAGATGGCCACAATGCCCAGAGCTGTGCCGATCTGAAACCAGGAGCCAGGAGCTTTTTTCGGGTCTCCCACGTGGGTGCAAGGGCCCAAGGACTTGGGCCATCTTCCACTGCTTTCCCAGGCCACAGCAGAAAGCTGGATTGGAAGTCGAGCAGCCAGGACTCAAACCTGCGCCCATAAGGGATGCTGGCACTGCAGGCAGTGGCTTTACCTGCTACACTACAGCTCGGCCCCGCATAAATCTTTTATATAATTTTACCAAATATATATATTTTCACATTAAAAAGTTGTAGATAATAAGATGAAATTGGATATAGTGTTTAAAATGACCAAAGATTTGTATAACTTTGAAAATATTATGGTTGTATTTAATTCATAATTTTGTCTCCCTTATAGCCTGCCTGAGGATATGAATATAAATTACAGAATAAATAGTTAATGTTAGCCTTCATTTTTGGGAATGGTTGAGTTCATAGTAAGAAATGGTATCTATTTTTACTTTTTAGAACTCATTTAATTCAAGACATAGCTTTGGGTGTCTAAGGAGGTACATTAACTCAGTCCTACCAGGAGGGAGAGTAAAATCTCCTTCAAGTGTTTATCACCAGGCCTTGGTGCTCTGCGGAAGGTTTGATTTGCTTCTTGATATATAAAAGGAAAAAAAACTCACAAGTTTGTTAAGCAATTTAATTTTTCAAAAACTTCTAACAGGAGTGTTTAAAATAATTAAAACTATTTTAAGAACATTAAATGAATTAAAATCGATAATCATGACTGTCATATCTACTTCTAAAACTAAGCCATAAAAGACTTGAGCATTATAAGCTTACTTCTCAGAATTCCTTGTCCTGGGGGATGACAAATCCATAATTCAATTAAAATGCTTTGTATCCCATAGTTTTTATTACTTACATATGATTCCGATCAAGATTATCTAATTCAGTGAGATTTAAGTAGGAACACATGTGTACTTACTAAAATGTAGCATCTGGGAAAACCAGTAGTCTCTTCTGAAGAAATCATATTCTTTTCAACTCTTTCTCCTTATATTTCATTAATTTAAAATATTGCTATGCACACACCCACATCTGTGAATAATGGAAACTTTTATTACAGATTTGCACTCTTCTCCCTCTTTGACTACAAGCTACTTTTGGTAAAAGACAAAAGCTGTTCATTGGTAGAAACTGTGCCTGCCAATTTGCCTCTAGGAGTAGTTTCTCCTTGAATGGGATCTGTTTGGCACCAAGCAGCCTCAGGCGTGGGGCTCCACTCACGTTTTGATCAAAGATGCAAACTGGAATTTTTGAGCATTCTTTGAGCTTCCCATCTATGATACATGACCCAGGTGGGAGTATCATTAAATATCCCTTTCACCTTTGGGAAATAAAATTAAGCAGTTTTTTCCCTTCAATTCAAGGGAGCTTATCAACAAAGAAAATATTCCTTCGGGATTCAGCAACCTCGATGATTGTATTTTGAATACTCAGGAAGTGGAGAAATTACATGAAAGTACCTCGGGCTCTGCCGGAGAAAGGAGCAAACCCAGACTACAGAAACCCAGTGCTAAGCTTCCCGAGCTCAATGAAAATCAAGATGGTCTTGTGGTAAGTGAATGTTTCTATAAAATGGTGACTTGTGGCCACTTAGGAATGAGACTAACTTTATTCGTTCTTTATTTGGCCTGCGATTTGCTTATCTGCCAAGGAAATTTAAACCCACTGTGTGTCTGAGACTTGGCATAATAGCTTGAAAAGAATGTGCTTCTCAAGTTGAAATCCTCTTGGATACCAACTTAACCCATCAATAAATTTTTTCCACCGGGAGTAGTATCTCAAGTTCTCTAGGTGCTAAGAATAGAAGTGCAAGAGTATCTTGATTCCTTAGGATGTGTTTGACTGGCAAAACTGTGAACATGGTCTATGTTTAAAAACATTTGGATGGGCAGTCCTAATTCCATGCTGGCCTTTGTTTACACAGGAGGCTCTGCCTCCAGCCCAATTTCCACTTTCAGTGTTCCAGAATTGTGTTTGTCACTTGTGACCTAAGTGAGTTCAATGGACCCTGTCTTTGTCACAATAAATAATTTAAAACTCTGCCAGCACAACTGATATAGAAGAAAAACTTCCTCATTTGCAAAATGGGGGTGCTCCCATAGATCTTTCCTAACTCTCATATTCCACCAAGTTTAAAATCTAAGCTTCAGAGGTAACCATAAAGCAATGAGCCCCAGAGCACAACGATGGCTAGACAGCCTCCTGGAAGTTAAGCTGTGCCTGCTAACTTCCCTCTTGTCTTGAACCTTCTGATTTTACTTTCTCCAATTTGCCTCCAAAACCTGTCCCTATCTCATCTCAAGGTCTTTACACTCTGACCAAACATTTGTCTCTATGGCTAGAAACAAGACAGGGAGGGAAAGAAAGGCAGAAGTATACATCACTATGTGCCTTCTGTGTACCAGGAAATATTTTGGGCTTAGGGATACAGCAGTGAGAAAAACAGTCAATGATTTCTGCTTTTGTGCGACTTATGCTCTAATCAAGATGAAATCAAGTAAAGCAGAATGTACATTAGGTATATAACTAATACAAATATATAAATAATTAGGTTATTATCACCACTAAGAAGAAAATTAAAGCAGGGATTGGGGCAAGAGTTGCAATGGGATAGGGGATGCAATTTTTTTTTTTTTTTGATAGGCAGAGTGGACAGTGAGAGAGAGAGACAGAGAGAAAGGTCTTCCTTTTGCCATTGGTTCACCCTCCAATGGCCACCGCGGCCCGCGCGCTGCAGCCGGCGCACTGCGCTGATCCGATGGCAAGAGCCAGGTACTTATCCTGGTCTCCCATGGGGTGCAGGGCCCAAGGACTTGGGCCATCCTCTACTGCACTCCCTGGCCACAGCAGAGAGCTGGCCTGGAAGAGGGGCAACCGGGACAGAATCCGGCGCCCCGACCGGGACTAGAACCCGGTGTGCCGGCTCCATAAGGCAGAGGATTAGCCTAGTGAGCCGTGGCGCCAGCCCATGGGGATGCAATTTTAATAGAGGGATTAGATGAGGCCTCCCCCAGTTTTTGAGATTATAGTGTGAAGACCTAGAAGAAGTAAGGAACAAAACCATACAGATGAAAGTACAAGTGCAGAGGTCCTGAGACAGTCATTTATCTGGAACATTCAAGGAGCCACAAGGGCACCATTGTGATTGGAAGAGAAGGAGCAAAGCGAAAGAGGCCATCACAGTGCAGGGGGGACAGATTAGGTAGGTCCTCATAGATCATTGTAAGGACTCTGCCTTTACTCTGGGTGAGAGAGAAGCCCCTGGATGAGACTGGAAGGTTCTCAGTACAATAGCGATCAGAGTTACTTAAGTAGATGCGACTGCCATGTTGAGAAGGCAGAAGACCAGCTAGCAAGCCCTTGTGATAATCTAGGTTTAGGTTGATGATGGTTTGTATTAAGATGGTACCAGAGCCAGCACACCTGGCCTCACAGGCTCTGCTCTAGGGGTTGCTGTTCCCATCAACTGAAACATGAGTATTCCTCTTGGAGTTGTGCATTGCAGGAGATATGAAGTGGGAGATAAGAAGCAGATGGACTCTGGATGCATTTTGACAATTGACTTGGTAAAGATTTTCTAGCAGATTATAAGTGAGTTATGAAGCTAATTGAGTAGTCAAGGATTTTTGGCCTCAGAATCTAGAAGAGTGGTCATTCTAGTATATACCAAGATGAGGAAGACAGAAGTTTTGGAAATGCTATCCTAGGTTCCATTTTGGACTTGTTAGATTGAGCTGCCTGTCAGATATCTAAAAGGAAATATCAGACAGTCAGTTGGATTTCTGGGCCCACAGTTCAGGGAGGTTGGCCTAGCTAGCAATACAAAAGTGGGCATTAATAGTCAGAGATGACCTTGAAGGCCAGTGCCTGGCAGGTGATCATGGAGGGAGCAGGTGTAGATGAGTGTAGGCCCTGGGGCTTGCCCATGTTTAAAGGATAGGGAGATGAGAAGCCAGCAGAAGACAAGCCAGAAAAGTAGAAGAAAGACAAGGTGAATTTGAGGTCTTGGAAGCCAAGTAAGTATCTCAAAGAGGAAGGCGGGTAGATTCGAAGTCAATAGAAGACTGGAAGTAGGACCATTGAAATCAGTAGACCATAGCTCACTGTATTGGTAGAAAGTTAGTGCAAAAGCCATTCTCGAGGGAAAATTGGAGGAGAGTGACCAGACAGGTCGCACAGTGATCCTGCTCACCCACAGCACAGCCAAAGAGGGAGAATAGGATGCAGACATAAGGCTGCATCTTGCAGATTTGGCGCCTCTGAAGGTGGAATTATCTAGACGTTCTCACCTTGGTCCTTTTGCCTCTCGAGCATATCATGACCAACAGACACTGAGATTCCAGATAATGAGCCTGCCACAGTATATACAAATATTTTTATCAAAACACCACAGGTGACCCTATAACTATGGACAGTTTTTTTGAGTCTACTAAATTTTTTAAAATTCACTGAAAAGGAGCCGGGGTAGTGAGGTGCCAGCTAGGCTGTTAGATTGCTCTGCTTCATCTCTAAGTACTGCCATGGTCCTAGCTCCTAGCTTATGCCTGTGTCTTCCGTCTCTCCAAGAAGAAAACTTAGCGCTGGCTTCATTTTGGAGAGCTAAGCTAGGAGCTTGTTTTACAACACTCCCCTCCCCTGTTGAAACTCCTCTAGAGCTCCGCTCATTGTTTTCTGTCACCTCTGCAAATGGTAAAGGGCTTTCTCTAGTCTGAAGTTAACCTCCAGGTGAAAATTAATCTTTGGAAATTCTGTCTTCTGCGTCCATCTTCCCAGCTATCCCACACATAATATCCCACATATAATATCCCACACATAATATCCCATACATAAATATACAAACATAAATGCAACACACACTCATACATTTTATTGCTGCTTCCCTTTTGGTTCATTTCCATTGGCCTTGGAAAAGTCTCTTTATCTAAATGCCTGTGCCCCGTATTGAAGTACCTGGGTTTGATTCCCAACTCCAGTTCCTGATAATGCAGACCTTGGGAGATGGGAGGTGCTATCTCAAGTAACTGGAGCCCTGCCATCCATGTGGAAGATCTGGATGGAGTTCCTGGCTCTTGGCTCCAGCCCCAGTCCCAGTTCATCCCCAAGCATTTGTAGGCATTTGGGGAGTGAACCAGTGGATTAGAGTTTTCTGTCCTCTATCTCTCCTTTCCTCTCAAATTAAAAAAAGAAAAAAAGTAGGTTTTAAAGCAATATCTATATTACATACATATATGTATTTTTGTATCTGTAATAATTCTAGGTAAAAAGACTAAAGGAAATACAGTGTGTGTGCTTTGCATCCATGGATTCAACCAACCACAGATTGAGAAATATTAGAAAATGATTGCATCTGTACTGAAAATGTACAGACCTTTTTTTCTTTCCTGTATTTGTTCTCTAAACACTTCCATATCCCAAGTGTTTGCACAACATTTCAATTGAGTTAGGTATTGTAGTAATCTGGGGGTGATGTAAAGTATGCAGGAGGATTGTGCAGGTTATATGCAAATACTATGCTGTGTGATACAAGGAGTCTGAGCACTTGTGGATTTTGATATCTACAAGAGGTCCTGGAAGCAGTCCCCCATGAATGCTGGGGACAACTGTAAACCTCCAAGTATGTGATTTAATTAAGGTTGTGGTTGTAGTATTAGATGTCGTTCATTACTCTTTCCTCTGTTTTCCACATATATTCTATGTGATTATACTAACGCTAAGGTAAACGTTACATTCAGCATGTAAAAAACAAAGTCAAGTAACTGTAATTTACCAACAGCTTCCACTTACTGTCACATACGCCCTCTGTAATATTAGGCAAGGTTCAAGGAAAGAGGCAGGTCTTGCAATCATACCTGAATTTCTATTCCAGCTTTACCACTCAACAGCCACAGTAAGTGGACATGTTACTTAGCCTCAGTTACCTCCTCTGTAAAAAGGGAATGTTAATATCTCATTATGGGGTCTTTCTGAGACTTAAATGCAACTAAATGTGTTTTTTAAAAAATGATAAAATTGAATATTTAGGCCCATTTCTGCTCACTCTGCTGTGATGTCTAGTCTCTTTCACTCACTTTGCCATCAATTATTTTGAATAGCCTGCTCTTGAAAGTTTCAGTTCTGTTTGTCCTTGCTGATCAAGCCTTGCAGTCCAGGTTCTGCCCCCACGTCTCTGCAGAGACTGCTTTCTCCCTGTTGCTGCTGGCCTTGTCAGACCCCTGTGCTATGACATCTCTTTGGTCCTTGGCCTCCTCAACTTCTTGTGATGTTCTCAGAGCTCTGTCTCCATTGGCCTCTGTGGCACTGACCTTGCCTTGACCTCTCACCACAATGACTATTTTCTTCTTCTCTGTATCCTTCACTGGCTAATCTTCTATAAATCATGCTTGGATGGAAATGTTATTTTTATCTCATCTCTCTTTCCCATCAGAACTGTGAGAGCTTCTCCAGTTCCATGGTTTCAGTTGTCACCCCCTACACACACACACAAAGTGGCTTCCTGTTCAACATTTGATTGTAGCTCTCTGCAGTGTAGCCCAGAGAGGAGTCATGCTAAA